CATCTGGTGGGTTCGAACCGTGCACCTCTGGGATTGTAGTTGCAGCTTCTTGCCACTAGGCCACCAGAGCTCCCCTTGAAGAAGACAGTATTTCTAAGAGCTCACATAGACAAGGCGAAGGGAGGGAATGAGGTGTAGGGTTTCCAATTCTTAACAATTTTGTCTTTTTACATTAAACAATTAGAGTCTCATTTATCTGATACACAAATTTAAGACCCATCAAAGAAAAATGTCACTATTTAAAGGAATCATTTACCTTCAATTCATTGGGGAGCGTATGTCCTTTCCTACTTTATTCACATAACAAGGTTAGAGAGGTTAAACCATTAAATTTTAAGAAGAGGAGAAAGAAAAGAAACACCTACTTTGAGTAATTTCACTGCACAGACCAAGTTATCATCCACAGGGTTGGAGAAGAGGGCATTCAGCAACTCCCGAAGACCAACCTGGAGGATGTCTGCTCTCGTAACCTGCCCGTTTGTGCCCTTGATCTTTGAGGCAAAAGAAAATGAAGAGCAACTATGTCAAAATACAGTCCAGCCAGGTTATGGGCCTGGCAAAGGGCTGGCGTCAAAAACATTAGTCAAAACAGAAGCGTGAAGAACACCTTGTATCGTGACAGAATGACTTCACAGGTAATTAAGGCTCCTCACACAACGATTCAACTAGGAAAGACTACATTTTTATTTATCACACACAGCACACAGAAGAATCTTAAGCTCACTTTAACATTATTTCGTAATTGTCTTTCGTCAAACAAGCTACTACTTCGAACTCACAGCATTTTATTCACTTTTCCTAGTATTTAATGGTTCTATTTTGTATTAGGGTAGTGTTCATATCATATTTTTTCTGCTGGAGGAATGTGGAGTCCTAAAGCCGTGAACTTAATGCTCCCTATGTTGTACTGATATATGTGCCCTAGACAGAACAAGCACTATTACGCTCAAGTAAGAAATAGTCCAGAGCCTGCTTAAAAATGACTCCTCATCTGAGCCACATTTTCATTTAGGTTGCTACTCTTATTTTGGCTTGTATAAAATTTAGAGTGAAAAACATTAAGACGTAAGCTTTGAAAGGCATTAAGCCCAGCTGCAATATATATAAAAAAAAGGGGGGGGTGTCAGGAAGGTCAGAATAAATCGGGCTCTGCAGCAAAGAAAGGGCTTTTACGTGTGCAAATATGCGCCTCTGACAGTGGACTACGTGTCTTTAAAGAGGTTTTTATGATCCCAATTCTTCAAACCAGGCTTTAAGGAAGGTGCAATCCTCTATCTGGTGTTTATTAGTCAAAGAAAGCAAACCCTTTTCTCATAGTAATGTTCAGACAATGTTACACTCGAACATGCCACCAATGTGTCAACACGTTTGACTGTACACCTTGTACAAATGCATTGTGTGTGGGAGATTAGTACATGAAATAGGTCAAAAAAACTGTGAAGCATAAATCAGTATGAAAAGTCATCCAGCCCAGCCTCTCTTCCTTTGTTCTTGCTTGGTAGATGGATTGGGGCCACTGTCTGAAAGTCAACAGGCTAAGTGCTCTAACCATATAAGATGCAAAGACGTAAAAAGGCATTTTTAAAGTTAAACATTTCGTTGGAGCACACACGCCCATGCTAGGTACCCACGACTTCGGCTACCTTCTCTCCCCGTTTCACCACTCTCTCCATGTGCCCACAGGGAAGCGTGTGCGCACACACCGCATTCAGGCCAGGCCCCGGCCCTGGGACTCACCTCCAGGTTAAGGTACAGCTCTCCCAGGAAGAGCACAAAGGCATGAAATCGCTTGCGCGTTGCTTTATCCCCCTTGGCGGCTTCATCTTTAGCTTCATACTCGGTCCGACACCTAATAAAGACACACTTTATAACCTCACAGTGATTTCTACTAGGCAAACGAGATGACCGCCCGTCCATCTGGTTGTTCGCAAGCCACACAGAGGAGAGCAGTGTCCTGACTGCCTGTGACAGAGAGAAGTGTTCCGTTCTGCCGTACAGACTAGAATCTATGTCCTCTCTGAGTACCAAGACCCCAGCTTTAAGAAACTGATAGGAAGCAATGAAACCATCAGATCAAGTTTCTATGTTTTAGCCACAAAGAAGTCATAAAGTTCACAGCATACGGGCAGAAAAGGGCTGGGGTAAGCTCGTTTACTCTATCTAATGTTCTACTGGGACTTCTGGTTAAGAAATTAATTACCATGATAACTTTCCCCACTTTTCTGAATATAGGAATTTTTAAACACTTTGTGTGTGTGTGTGTGTGTGTGTGTGTGTGTGTGTGTGTGTGTAAAGGGGGAGGGCCTTTAGCTAAATGGAAAATGACCTTTTTTTGGCGTCAAGTCCACTATCCTTATAATTTCCATTATAAAAAATTCAGAGGTAGTACAAGGAGGGGGAAATTCCTTAGTTGAAGGCACAATACAGAAAGCAGTTCATTTGGTTTCTCTTTCCAGCGGAGACGCTGTCATCTCCACTAGCTCCTTGTCCTCTGACCCAGACCACTTGCTGCACACGGGCTGTCTGAACTACCAGAACCACAGTAACCTGTCCCTGCCTCAGGGATTCCCGGGGCCAGACACAGGGGTAAATCAGCTGTTACAACAGACTCTCAAAGTTTATCATTTCGGTCATAGGCATGTTTTTTCATCCTTATTGATTATGAGAAAACCCCATGAGTGTTCTTTGTTTTAAAAAGTGATTCTGACAGTTCTTCTTTTAAAGGACAAAGGAAGGAGTTTATGGAAATTCATGACTTCTACCCACAAACGACCTAATTTGTGTTGGTTGACTTTGTAAAAAAATTTCAAAGATTTTAAAAAAAAATTATTTTATTATTTTTTTGTGCATTGTACCGTCAAATCAGATCTGACTGGTACAGGAGGACATTGTCCCTCCTTCTCCAGCAGAGCATCTGGTGGATTCAAATCAGGCGCATCTGGGATCGCAGTGCAGCTTTTTGCCACTAGGCCACCAGAGCTTCCTTCAAAGACTTTTTTTTAAGGAAGGAGAAATGCCAACTTGCTCAAGATTTAACACTGGGCTGGTTTCGTGAATTACACTGTAAGCCCAGCTTAGCTTGACTATGACTAATTCAAAACTCAGAAAGCTCTATCAAATCAGAAATCTCTTCACGTCGGTAAGATCCGTCTCACCGTCTCACACATATTATGTCAGCTCCTCATAAAAAAGTTTGCTTATCTATAAACAGAGAGAGCTCTCCTTAACAGTGGAAAGGCTGTTAGTTAAAGCGGACACGGCGGTCCATCTGCTGCAGGCGTCCATCTGTGCTCTTCTGCTTACAAGTTCAGAGGCAGGGTGGACAGAAAATGACCGTCCCAGCTTTAGAAATGTTGTCAGCCTGTACATTAATATACGCTAGGACCTGCATGAGAGGGCATTACTACTGCTGTTAACAGCGGTTATCCTGGCAAGAAGGAAAATCATCAATCTTTTCAAGTTAAAATGTTTTCATTAAAAAAGCCATGTGTGTTTACTTCAGAAGGACTAAAACAGAAAGAAAGGAAAGTTCCCTGTCACACTGAACCCAGAGAGAAGGGCTGTCAGGTAACTGCCTTTTCTCCCTCCACTCTGAAGATTGTGTGTATTTTATTTTTCAAATGAAATACTACAATGACACCCCAGTGGTCACTCGCCAAGGGCCCTGTTGGAGCAGTGCTAACTACTTGACGGCTAACCAGACACCTGTAGGCATGAGCTGGCCAGTAGCCCGCAGGAGCACCCAGTCGTCCCTTCTGAAAGGACCACTGTCTGGAAACCCACTGGGCCCTTCCAGCCCGTCCTGCAGAGGCCCCCGGGGCAGTGGGCTCCTCATCTCACTCTTCATATTACGGACATTTGCCCGTAATAACCGTCATACGGAAGCACACACAGGGGTCAGCTCTTCAACATGTTTGCGCTGAGGAGACCTGTGTTGGGGGGCTAGGCTTCACAGCTCAGTGCAACGATAGGAAAATTCTCCCGGTGGGGGCGACTCAGGGCCCCACGCTGAGTCTCCGGCCAGCTCTGGGAAACGTCACTGCCACCATGCCCGCCATGCCTGCCTGTGCCTCTCCCAGGAAAGAGAACTACTCTAACTGCAGGCAAGGCGACACAGCAGCTGAGAGGCGTGCAACCTCGGTTTCTGAACGGTACCTATTCAGAGCTCTTCCGAAGATTGCTATTGAAACACCAGTCATCCTTTACTAAGAGGTTTGCAAAGAGGTCCTTTTGTATTCAAGAAACCAGTTCATTGTCATGTATGATACATTTCCCTTTTACTTTTAATCATTTTTTGCACCCCAGCATATAATCGATAGGGCCCCTATGAGTTAAAATCAACTTCACAATACACAGAAACAAAACATATCGTTAAGGTTACTGATCTCTTATTTTGGGAGCTTTGATTACTACCCTTGCTTAAAAAGGCAACAAAAGGTTTCATTTTGTCAACTTCCCTTCTAGAATTTACTGTTGCACTTTTTTTTTCAAAGCCCTCTATGTCTTTTTTAAAAATAAATTCCTTTGCTTTTTTGTTGTCATTATACGCCGTCGAAATGGATCCGACCGCCGACCGGCACAGGAGGAGACAGCCCCTCCTTCTCCGGCGAAGCTTCTTGCCATTAGCGCTCCCATTACTGGTTCACTTTAAAGTCTTTGCTGTAACTGCAATTTTGTGAAAGGTTAAGAAACTCTTGCC